ATAAATCATAAATTGAATGTTATTCCGCTCAAACTCTTATTAGCTATTAATTTAAATATCGTGGATGTTTAAAACCATATTGAAAGATTTGCCTAGGACATTCTATGCGGGTTTAATGATTTAATGTCTTTAGACCAAACATTTTTACAAAATGGATAGGTCTGTTTTATTTTTTCATTCATATATCATCAAGTTTCTAACCACTTGTTTGGATCTTAGCATGAATATGCAATATGTTTATCTTGATTACCTATGCACTTGATTGGCTTTACTTCACATTTCCTCGATTTAAGAAGCATTTTATCTCAGACTTATTAAACATTGCACAATATCACATGTGGTTTGAGTGAATCAAATAAACTTATTAATAAAATAAATCTAATTAATTAACGGCACTAATAGATTTAACATTTTCACAACATGTAGTTATGGGCACTTGACAATAACACTAAGATGATTTAACCACTAATTGACGGCACTAACAAATTGACATTCTCACAATATACTGTTGCGGGCATATGGGCACTTGACAATAACACTAAGATGATTTAACCACTAATTGACGGCACTAATAAATTAACATTTCACTAATTACTAACACTAACAAACTTTGAAGAAGATGATTGAAATTTGCAATATTTTAACAGCTAACTGTAGGGTGTCTGTACATTCTCAAACCTCTTTTTTCTTTAATCTTCACTCCAGTCAGAATCTCTCTTGGCACTGTAGTGAAGTTTCTCACTTTTGTTTTCCTGTTATTCATGATCTCCTTGGAAGGGCGCACCTGATGTAATGGATTATTTTGGTTTTACCGTTTGGCTGTTTATTGATTCATTGATAACGTAATTTAACCTAAAACAACCTCATGAAGATCCTTTTGAGAATTCTAGAGTATCGGTTAGTATCAGTGAAGCCTTTGGGGATTAAGTCACACAAGGTATCTAGGTAGAGGGAGCCTTCATGTCAACCTCTCCTTCATAATTCGCTCCAGAGATGTTGTGACAAACCTTCTCATTGTTATAGATCTCATATCTATCCACTTCCGAAGAAGGGATCTTCGAGCCATCGGATATTCATTGGGTTTGAATCTAAACTACAGGTCAAATGACAGACACAGCTTCCGTCCAAATATTATGTTGGCTGGAGTCTGGCCGGTAGTTATGTCGACAGAATCCCTATGGGCAGGAAAACAGATGCTGATACTGTAGGCCTACTGATCCGTCAGCATACTTTATTTGCATGATCATTGGACATAGTCATTGACATGATGCAAAAAACAGTTTTTTGTTCTTCCAACAAAAACAGATCATATTTTAAGTTATGTTTGGGTGACCAGTTTTCAGCACAGAAGGGTCTTTCCAGCAGCCAGTCTGTTAATTTTTAATGAAGATGGTTTAATTGGTCTCTTGCTTAAGGTGTTCTGGGTGGAGATTGGAAGAATGCAGTTCCTTTATAGGACAGTTTTCTCTGTCCACCACTTGTTCGTTCATCTCAGCAAAAGCTTCGACTGCAGCAAAATCCAAAAACTCTTGCAGGCGTTTTTTTATCGTCTCCCTTGGTACGCGAATCATCTTCATCATTTTCCGTGATCACAATAGTGCCAAAACTTTGGATATTTTTTCAGTCTAATAGACATTATTATCGTCTCCTGCGGTCACAGAAACGACGTAATCTTTGTTGAGAATGTCTTCTTCAGTCTTGTAGATATCTTGTTCATCTCTCGCGTTCATGGAAATAACGTTAAATTGTTTACGCGATTGTGGCAAAATCGTGAATATCTTCTTCGGTTTTGATATTATCAACGTCTCCTGAAGTCACGGAAAGAAGATTGTCTGCGATTTCGGTGAGTGGGGTTTGTAGTGGTTTTATTTAAGCCACTGTGTCGGTCTGATTATTGGTCCATTCGAAGTTGTGCAGGTCATACACCCTATGCACCATTTAATACATCAGCTTTCTGATTAGCTCAGTAAAAACGCTTCCGCAACTTCCCAATTGTGTAATATGTTTAACTCTTTCAGTACATAGCTTTACTGACACACACTGTTACTGACACACTTAGTTTTACACTTACTAAAATCAGAACGGAACTTTAGTAGCGGCTTTAGAATCATCTCAGTGCCTTCGACTCCGGAAGATTCTTCGAACAGCGCAGTGTCATTAGCTGTGCCAGAATATTCGAGACTTGTCTGAAATGACTCCGCTACACTGTAAGGGTATAATGTGGTAATGATGTTGAACATTTTATAAACACATTTTACTAATAGATTGTCCAATTTGATTGATATAATAATACATTTTCAAACACTTAAAAGACATAAAATATTGATATCAAGTGTTAAAGTATTTACCTACGGCCGTTTTTAAACTAGCCTTTTCAATTCAGTTCCTAGAATTGAAAAAATTCACTTAGCAGTATTTATTTTTTACTTACTTTACAGCATTGCTCTGTTACTTTACACAACAAGTTTGGACCAATTAGGTTCAAAGATTGAGAGAAGAGAAGTAAAATTGTAATGCTTTGAACGTCAACTTATCAGCTATTACTGGTTGGGACATGAGTCGTTGCATCACAATCAGTGGCGATCAGAGGTTATAAACAAAAACATAACCTCTCTTAGACTTATGAGTAGTGATTGTTAGTAAGTTAAAAACGGTTGTTGGTAAACTAGTATATGCAACTCGCGTAATTAGTTTTAAAGATACTTGTAGAAGTTTTAAAGGCACTCGCCAAGGCTCGTACCTTATATTATTCTATTTGTGTCTTAAGACTATCTTTACACGATAGTGGCGTAAACTGCTATAACTTAACATAATGATAAATTTGTTGTCGTTAAAGGACATAGAATTCTCGTATCTAATGTCAACGTATTAACTCAATAATACATTTATGTAAAATGAATCTGCCAAAATAAGAGTAAAAAAATATTTTCAAGAACCCTGCAAAATAAATTAGCAAGGTGTAGTGGTTACATTGTGTAGTGGTTACAAAGCTCGTTTAGTAATCACTAGTCGCCGGTTCGATTTTTAGAAAAGCCAGTAGCTTTTTTCTGGTTCTCAACTGGACCCAGCTGTCCTTGATCATTGGGTTTTTATTAAATGCTCCTAACTAAAAAAAATCACTTGATCTTAGTCAACAGCAAAGCTATACAGATCCTCTCACTCCGTTCTATACTCACCTTGAATCTTGAAATCCACACCCGCGTGTGTCACTGTCTCAAAGAATTGATAATTGATACAGACTCGCCCTCGTTAATTGTTAACTTGTATGTTAAGATTCTACAGCAGAGCACATTGTGTCACTGACATAAAAAAACATCAAAAAGTTTGCCTTGATGTTAAACAAACCTAGAATTTTTAAATGGCAAAATTTGCATGGCTTACATAGCGTAACAATAACGCCAAGATTTTTTTCAAGGTCAAGATTGTGAGCAGCTGATAGTGTTTCAAATCCTCCAATCAATTTTAGCAAGTTATTTCCCTACTGGCAATTGTATAATTTTGTTTAGAATGGCCGAAGCGGATGAGTCTGCTACAGAACCGTTGACCACATCCTCAAGCACATGGTCACTTGTGTCGATCGAGTCGTCTCGTCCAAGGAGATCACGGTCCAGGCGATACTCGTTTAACAGCTCACGATCAAGCTCTATTTCGTCGCTCACATCTTTTTCGTCGCTCGAATCGCTTCTTGCTACACCAGTAAAAGCGCCAGTCTTGGCATCGCAGAGTTCCACACCGACAAGATCACCATCGGCAAGATCAATACGCTCCTTGACCCCTTCACAGAGTATGCGCCCACCTATCTGCATCAGTGTGGATGGTAAGTGTTCTAGTTGACACATATTTTCTCCCAATAGTTTCTAAAAAACCTTCATTTTGGGTAAGGGGTGGAGAAAACTGATATTTAATGGGTAAAATCACAAATGTTTGAGTAAATTTTGAACCTTAAACATTAAGTGGACCCAGGATTCAGAGATATGGGAGTATGCTGTACTGTAGAAATTATTATAAGCAAAGATTCCTCTTTTAAAAAACATAGGATAGTCGCTAAAACACATTGCTAATCCAAACTTTTGTTTGTTAACACAATGATCTATGTGTACAAATGATTTTCGATAATCTTAACTGGTTTTTTTTGTATTCAGATGTTGAAATACCAAACGTAGAAGACATCCAAGAGAAATTTGCTTTATTAAAAAGAACTCCGTGGAAGGATTGTACTTCGGTAAGATTAACTTCCCTCATTTATATGTATTTAGACCTATTGGAACGTGGTGCACTAAAATTTAACATAGTCATAGTTTGATCTGTTATTAGTTCTGAAAGTCTTTTAGTAAAATGTTTCAGAAAGATTGTTGAGCTTAAAGACTTGTTATCTTCCCTTCTCTTAGAACCATTGACTTTTTGATTCTGAAGTAGACATCCCATCTTTAGAGACCAGCTGTTGTTTGGTAGTGTATAAAGTTCTTTTTTCTACCTTATTTTTTGTTAGAGATAGTTGAAAATCATAACAGTAAATATAGCTTACAATAATGTTGTCCTGTAATTTTAAATTGTTATATAAGTCTGCCAACTCGACAGAAGTCGGTAATTTACATCAGCGTAATCTGTTTGTGGAGCAATTGATCTACGTCCATTTTCATAAAAAACAAGTTTGACTTCTAGTTGCGAAGCTAGAACACACCACTGAAAGCATTTTATGCCCCGAAAAGACTGGAAATCTTGTAGAAAAGGACTTGGAGACCTTTTCACAATTTTGTCCCCTTTAGCCCCGTTCACACGGGGCGAGTTTACAAGCTACACGTCGGTTTTTTTACACGCAGCTAGTAAAATAGCTCAGTGTGAACGACGTACTCGCTCAAAAGCTGCTTGTAAAAAAGCTCTGGAAAAAGTTGACGCTGCCGCTACTTTACACGCCAACTCGCCAGCTGTTGAGCGAGTAGGCGTGTAAAGTAGCCCAGTGTGAACATAATTGCTTGTGCTTGTGCGCATGTTATTCAAAGATGTCGGCGTCTTTCTACACGTTGGCGAGTGGACAAGCTCTGTGTGAACAAATACAAGCGCACTCGCCAACTCGCCGGCTTCTTACACTCTTGCGAGTAGCTTGTAAACTCGCCCCGTGTGAACGAGGCTTATAGTAGGATTATTTCAAAAGATTAAAATAGTTTGAAACAGTACTTTACCAGTCAAGGGTAAAACAGTACCACTGTTTTGTAGACATCATTAAGAAAAGTTTTCTTATTCTTTCAGAAATTGGTGATTGAAAACAAAGAAGAGCGCCTGCGACAAATAACGTTGGAAGAAGTAAGTTCTTTTAAAGCTCATTTAAATATATTTTCACAGAAAGTAGTTGTTAAGATCTTAATGGCTAAACCTATGACACTTATTTCAGGGTCCCAAGAAATCCAAAACCTTAGTGTCAATTGTTAAAACTATTTTCCATTAGTAACAATTTCAAATAAACACATACCAAAAGTTCTAAAAAACATTGTTAATAACTGCAATGATGAATTACAATATATAAAGTGTCAGGAACTTTTAAACTACTACGCTTCAACACAAAAACACCTGGATTTTATTGACTACAGCAGAATCAAGCTTAGTTAAAAAAATGCAGATGTGGTTCAGATAAATTACATCTTCGCAAGCAACCAATAAGTGTGATAATTTATTATATTTTGATTTTATGTCTATGGACTCAGGTTGGACATGGATTGAAACTTTTTGAGTACAAAACACTAAACTGAACACTATACTAGGGATGGTCAAGTCTCGAAATTTCGGGAAATTTTCGGGAAATTTTAAATCTCGTTACACAAGACGAGATTTCTTTTTGACCGAGATTTTTATCGAGACGAGAATTAAAAAAAAAAAAAAAAAAAAAAAAAAATTAAAAACGCCTGCAGAAAGTCAATGCAATACCCGCAATACAGGAGCGTGTTGTAGTTGCGTTTCCTTTGCGAAGGCGTTCTTATTTAATTAATTCTATAAATGTAAATATTACTTTAATTATTTTAATAATATTACTTTAATAAAATTTGAGAAGTTTTGTTAAGTGTAAGTAGTGTGAGGAATGTTTTATTACTATAAAAAGTCAAAACAAGTAACTATTTTATAAAAATTAATATTGCTTTTATTTTATGATTTATTTTATTTTAGGATAAGTTGAACTCTATCCTAACTGATATCACTATGTTTCTTAATCGTAGGCATTTTTAATAAGTTAGGCGTGATTAATAAAAAAATGTTATGCTGATGTTTTTTAATAAAAGATTTTGAACGTGCATTTCCCGTTGTGTATGAGAAGGGAAATCCCGTCTCGATCTCGTCTCGAAATTTTATGAGAAATAAAAAATCTCGTCTCGTCTCGTCTCGAACTAAAAATTCAATCTCGTCCATCCCTACACTATACTGAAGACATACGATTCAGAATTTAGTATTTGAAAACACCCTGACCCATGACCAAGTGCTTTCAAGACATACTCTTAGCTGTTGTGCTAACGCAATTGTCGTTTACATTAATTAGTTCTCTAGTCTAGAGACAACTCGCATATTACAACCACATTTTGTATGATGCACATTAGGCATCTGTATGTTTATATGTTGTCTAATTTGTCTTATATTTTTAGCTCCCTCCCCTCCCACCCGTGCAATTAGATGATGGGTTCACTGAAATGGCTTTGACTCCAGCAGCTGATGAACCCTCTTTAGAACAATTAAAAGAAATCAGCGGAGGACTTTTTGATGACTATGTTCCTCGAGTATCAGTTGAAGAGGTAGTTAAGGTAAGATATTTGAAGATGGTTTTACTTTTTTTTTAAATTCAGTAAAGGCCCTTTCATGTGTGAATTGTAAGATTTTGCCATAATCATTTATTAAAACTTGACTAATAAAAAAAATTATAAATAAGTGTGCTACATTACCTTTTACTTGAGTAGATGCATCTGGTAAGAATAAGAATCTTAAATTGTAAAATCTTACAATGCAATAGGTTTTGTAATTTTGAACTGGGATTATTTCATGATCTTTTCATGTGTTTTGCAGGAAAGGTTTGATTGAGTAATTTCTCCTAAAGCTAGATTCTGAACATCCTTTGAATTTTAACTGATAGTTACACCTTTATCAAATTATTCACGATAATGTTCTTTGTAAGTGTGTGCTTTAGTACTGTCCATAAGACCCATTCCAAACGAGTGTAAAATCCACAACAGGATTCCCATGACAGGGACCATTTGGTTTTAGGTCTGGAAAATCTGTAACTACTGCTGGTATTGATCTAGTTGAGACTATTATTGATGCTATTGATAGAGGTGATAATTCTGTTGGAAGTTTCTTGGACCTTGTAAAGCTTTTGATAGCGTTTCGCATCAGACACTTATTTCTATATTACAACATTTTGGTATTACTGGTAATTCACTAAATTGGTATAAATCATATTTAGAAAACAGGCAGCAATATGTTGAACTGAATACGATTACAGAATTCAATCAATTACTTAAAGTAAAATCATCTCTAAAACAAGTCAAGCATGGAGTCCCTCAGGGGTCTATTCTCGGTCCAATTTTATTCCTCTGTTATATAAAAGGCCTGCCTTCAACTCTAACAAACTTAGACAGTAAATTATGCCTCTATGCTGATGATGCAAATTTAATAGTTTCTGGTAGATCAAAAAATGACATTGAATATATAGGCAATAGTAGCCTTGAATATATATATATATATATGAATATTTATCTTGCAAAAACTTATTGCTTAACTCAGATAAAACCAATTACATCAATTTTTTAACTGGTCAGAAAAAACCTTTAAAACCTCATTGAAAAATTTATAACAATTACTTAACTCAAGGGACTCAAACTAAATGCTTAGGACTAATAATTGATCAAAATTTATCTTGGTTGTACCACATTGATAAACTAAAAAGTAAAATTTGTTCAGGTCTATTTATGCTGCACAACTTGTCTAAACTCTGCTCGTTGAATGTTTTACTGAAGGTTTACTATGCTCACATAAACTCACATGCATTCAGCATTGAATTATATGGTGCAACAACCATTCAAAATTTAGATAGTATATTAATTTTACAAAAGAGAGCCATAGGTATCATGTTAAACTTAGGAGAAAACCAATTTTGCCAAATTAAATATCTTTACAGTGTATTGATTATATATTTATAAAACTAGAATTAATCTAAAAAGTGAAATAAATACACATACACTTCCGAAATTGGGAATGACACATAATTATAATATTCGGCATCGGAACTACCCAGCCATCCAGAGGCATAACTTAGAGTTTTATAATAAAAAACCCACTGCTGCAGGTACTAGGTTTTTCATCTGTAGTTCATTGAAGTTTAAAACAGCCATTGAATAACTTTTAATTTAGAACTTGCAAATTTTAATTTAATCTATTGTAGACTTCCTCTAATCAAGACTCCTCGGGACAGAGACCTGAGCTTAACGGATAATGGGTTTACTGGTTAAAATGACGTCCCCCAAAACTTGTTAAATCAGGTTTGTTTCCTTCAAATTTTTTACCTAAGATTGGGAGAGCATTATATTTAGATACTGATTACTGGTCTAAAAGCGTGTCCACAAGATAAGACGTTTCAGTACCTCCCACTTCCTGCTGATCCAGTACAGTTAAACCAAGCTGATAAAAATTTTCAGGTCTAAAGAGATGTCACTTCTATCAAGTATATTCTGACTAAACCGATGTCCGGATAAGAGGTAGTCTACAGTACAGTAAAATGTTGGAGCTCCCTATATTTTAATTGATGCTGGGAATAACTGAATAATATTGTTTTAGGAGGCGAGAAAGCGGAAACATCCAGCTCAGCTAAAGTTTTTCAACAAATTCTATGAGTGGTAAGTACTTTAAACACAAGACTACTGTTGGACTTCAAGAATAAATAATGCTTACTTTATTTATAGCACTACTGTTGTAAAATTTCTATAAAGGGTCCCATAAAAAGGAAAAGAAATTATTATCAGTTGTCATGTAAAGCAATGAGCTCCCTAAAATATTGAATCGCATATGGTTGTTAGGTTTTACATATGTTAGGTTTATTATATTGTATAGTAAATTAATTTTTATCCTCACTTTACCAAGTTATTGTTATTTTTTTATGTGTATTAAGTGAAGTACGAAGAACTTTTATTTTGATTTCGCAGCCAAATAAGGACTTATCACACACAGGTCACTGACCCATGTGATAATTTTATTTGTTATATGTATTGCTGCAAAAAAATTGTTGTTTTCTCCCTCACCATAAGGAAACGGCCAAACTCCGGAGAATGGTTCTATGGGTCAAAATAAAGAGAACATCAAGGATTTAACTTTTCTCAAAATCGCTTTGTTACCAATTATTCACAATTTTGTTTCTTTTACATATAGGCCTATGATTACATTTTTTATCTTTGTATTTTTCCTGCCGATCTTTATGGAACTTGGAATGTATGCCAAGGTAGAATAAACCCAGATGCTATAAAATATTTTTTTGGATTTTATATCAAGGTTTTTGTTGTTGCATGCACAAAGCTGTGATGCAATCCCATGGCCACTTTGTAAGCCTTGGCCCTCTGTTTAAAAAAAGAGTTTTTGTTGCAACCAAATTTGTTATTTGAACTTCTACATTAATGCATCTCATTGGTGGATTTCTTGCATAAAAGTCTATAGAGTACTTCAAACGTATTAAATGAATGAGTAAAAAGCTATGTTTCGTTGTAGAGCAAAACTTGTGATAGATGAAGATTTACATAATGTACAAACTTATTAGATGAAAATGGAACACCCCCCTTGTAGCAAACGTGCAGTCCATGTGAAGTTGTAGGTGCTTTCTTGAGTTAGCTGAGATAGCTAGGAGTTTCCTACCAAACTTTTCTTGATGTTGAGTCATATATTTTAACTGTTTTCAGGAAAACTAAACATGGCCGGATCCAGTGGTTGGAAGAAGAAGTAAGATTTAATTTACGTTATTAGTTAATTTTATTTTAATAATAATAATAAAAATGTGTATTTCTCATAAGAATACATTAGATCATTGACAAAGTCAAAATCATGATCATACATCAATCGTCAAACAAAACAAAATCAAAAACACTTCAATATTTTGAAAAAAACAATAGCGCTTAAAAACTAAAATAAAAATATGTACATATGACTAAACAAACAATAATAATTTAGGACCTGAAAAGCAACAGGTGAGCAGAGCAGGTTTATGCAATCAAAGATTAATTTGGCTAGACTTGAAAAATCGTCCACGCTATAAGAAGGGTTGTCTAATAGCCAATTATAAAACAAAGACTTAAATTTTTCCTGCGGATAAGCATCAATATTGTGTTTTAAAAGGTTATATACTTTAGTTGAGGACACTATGTGGCTCTTGCTAGTCTTACTCAGACGATGTGATTCTCACAAGGCACTACTTTTAAATCTGGTATTGTGATTATGATTATTGAATTTTAGTTGATGGGGTTTTTTTTTATAAAAAGGGTAAGATCATAAATAAACAAATTTTTTACAGTTTGAATCTTAAAATCCTTAAAAAGAGGCTTGCAGTGCTTGTCTGGCTCCGGATCATTCATAGCTCTGATAGCCCCCTTCTGAAGGATTAAAATTTCATTAATTCTTCCACACCCACCCCATAATATCAATCCATATCTCATTACAGACTGAAAATATGCAAAATAAGCCGATCCCGAATAATTCTTTGGAATTACATCTTTGAGATGACCAAGAAGAAAAATTACTCGAGATAGTCTAGTGGACAAATAATTTATATGATCATTCCAGGATAGTTGATTATCAATATGAACACCCCAAAAATTTTGTAATGACAGCACTATTTTCATTATTTAAGGCAGAATTGTGTTTCAATGTAAATTTTATTTCTTGAGTTTTACAGTCATTCGATAGAAATCCATTGGCATGAAACCATTTTGATGCATTTAATTTTGTGACATGGACTAAATTTTTAAGTTCAAGTTGGTTATTGTTTTCATGAAAAAAGTTGTATCATCCGCATACAGAATAGTTTTTGTATTTATTGCCATTGGAAGGTCATTAATGTAGATTAAAAACATAAGTGGGCCAAGGACGGATCCCTGTGGAATGCCCCAATTTACTTCCCTTTCTTGTGACTTTTTCCCATTAGAATTTACTATTTGTTTCCGGTTTTTTAAATAAGAAAGAAAATTTAGAGAAAACCTTTTAATAAGAATTTCAAAGTCAACACAATCAAATGCTTTGCTCAGGTCACAAAAGGTGCCCTGGGCAAAGGTCTTGCTTTCAAAGGACTGATGAATTTGCCTGATGAGATTGTCAAGAGCATCAATTCAATAACAATAGCCGGATAGTTTGCAATATTTCTGTTTGAATTCTTAAATATTTTGTGTGCATTTAATATCTATAGAGACATTTCCTGATATAGTTGTACAAGTCAAAACATAAGCACAATTTTGAAATATGAAACCCTGTCTGATAAATTTGAAACCAAAAACTCATGTAACAGAATATTTCTCATCACTTTAAATAATTAATAATTTACATTAATCATTTTCAAAGAGTTGTTTAACTTCTGGATTACTTGATTATTTCAAATGGTATTTATTACCTGCATACTGTACTACAAAGTTCATCAATATTGCAACACAAATCTATAGTATAGTATTAAAAAATAAGAAAATCACTTATGCTGGCACAACATTTGTTTTCCATATTATTGGTTATCTTAAGAAAAGAGTCAAACTCAAGACTCTTAAATTATAAAAACCGAGTAAAAATTAGTTTTGATCTTATATAACATATTAGGTTTTTCAATGTATACTAATTAGTAGAAATGTTAAGGCAAATGTTAATTTTTTTTTAATTTAAAATCATTTTTTGTGCTTATTTTTGGGCCTATTTAAATTTATTAAGGGATTCTGCACATCTACAGGAAAATATCTTTCATCTGATACCAACCGTGGGTAAATCGGTCCAGTAGTATGGCCAGGCTAGCTGTCGTAAGTTTTGCAAAAGTTTTTTGTATATAAGATAGGTTTGGAAGCTTTAAACTTTTAATCACCTGTTAAAACTGTTGAACGTATACAGTATGTAAATGCTACTGTACTTGTTGAATAAAGATTGAAATAGTAATAGTGAGGTTAAGAGTCTTTATCACCCTCGGTGTAATTGTGTTTTGGGGATAAGGTGGTGATGATGGGCAGGTATCGCAGGGTCATTATGAGCGCCATTCTGGAAACATCGTAAACTCACGATTACAAAACATGTTAATTTTGTCCCCCGTTTCGGACGCTGTTTTTCAACATATTTTTAAAATTTGGTAACAATGTAAATAGTTATATAAGAGCTCTTATACTGTGAAAAATTTAAAAAATCTATGTTTTTAAAAGTTACATAATTTACGTGTTACTTTTAAGATTGTGTTATACTTATACTATTGATTTTCTGGGATATATCATGTATAAGGGCTCTAGAACCAACATTAATCTCTGGAAATAAGTTTGAACATTATATCCTTTCACATTCCATCCGGGCAAGGGAATCCAGACGCATCTTTTTAGTGTTTTCGCTGGGTGAAGAAGACTCTTAATCTGATTTATGTTTTGTGGTTTCCAGATGGCCGTGGATTTTGAAAATCCACCAGTCGAGCCCGTTTATCCTCAATCATTTTTATCGATGGCTAATCTCAGCGACGATGAAGAGACATTTGACCATCAGAAGGAAAGACCGTTTCTCAGGATCATCGAGCAACCAGCTGAACAACCGTTCCCCGATCCAGTTGAAGTTGAACGAGTCATTGCTCAAATTAACACGGAAGATCCCTCAGCACAAAAGCATCGCCATATGAAAGACAAGACAAAGCCTAGCTGCGACAACCAAGGACGGCTCTTTTGGGGAGATGAGAGTAGGTATTTTTTAGATGTAGTTTGGATTAAATAATTATAAGTGGCCAACAGGATATGCATACACATTGGAACTCTTCCCTAATGCTGTACAGCTAATTATTTTCAGCCGAGGTATCTTATTAAAAAAATACTTCCAGCTGCTTTTGGACAGCTGTTTTCTCATAACAAATTTTATGGGACGGTGGATTTATAGCAATAAGATTGTTACCTTCATAAATATACTAAGAGTAACTGTGACTGTTACAGTTGCCGCTAGTTCCTCACCCATCCCAACTTCTTCTAAGGGAAAAGAGCCGCAAAAAAAACTGACAACCCTGGTATCCATTTCACCAATCTGTCCTGTGGACCGGGTGAGAAAAACGAAGGTGGATACATCATCTCAAACAGAACGTGAGGAGCCCCAACCGAATGAAATAGCTTCAGGAGGTAATATTATCTGTTAGCCTTTTCTTCAGCTTTAGACATTTAACTCTATCAAATTTCAGCATGGACAAGCTACCATTACATACAATTATCGAAGATTAATCTGATTTTTTTTCCCAATCTAATTAGAAAACTTCTCAGAGAACAATCCTTTGGCGAATTTCCCTAAAGGGAAGCCTATATTTAGACATTCCATCCCCATGTTAAATTTGTAGCCAGCTTTTTTACCAAAATTGTCGTAGTTTATGTGAGCCACCTATAGATTCTGCTGATCTAAATTACTAAATTCTGCCTAATCTTTTTAACCAAGTCAAACTTAGAGAATGACTTATGATGAGTTATAGCAACTGTTATGACCCCTCAACCTGGTCAGCAACAAAAATAAGGTATAAATAGAATTTTAGACTCTAGCACATTCTGTGACTGGCTCACACAACTACGATTTTTAAAAATAAAAAATTGGCTACAGCTGGTCCATATAGATGGGAAGTCTACTTCAGTATCCAATAATCAATGCTATTACTGTAAGTGGGGCAAATTAAGACCTAGACCTGGGAATGATTTACTTTTTCATTTTGGTGTACCCAGAGGCCAAAAACCTATCCACTCAAATATATGTAGGCTATACATGTGTATGAGATAACTCAGGTAATTTTGAACTGATTTTGATTAAATATGGCTTGAAGGAGTTGGGTAGCTTAAACTTAAATGATTTCACAAAGCAGCAAGATCGGGTTATGGGAACAAGCTGTCATGGGGTTTTACAATGTAAACATTTTTTTTCAAATTTCCACCTTATAAACTATCCAATTTTTATTACAGCCATAGTGCAGAGCTTAAAAAACAAATATTTTTGTGGATTGATGCGCTGTTGTACGATAAAAAATAACTCAATTTGGCTACGCTTTTTACCTTCCTCGTAGCAGCAAACCTTAGTACTCGTTAGATTTAATACAGTAGAACCTTGATAACAAGACTCTCATTGGGATTATAAAATAAGACTTGATATCAAGGTTCACTTCTTATCGAGGTTTACTTGCAATAACATGTGAAAACATGTGAAAGGGGTAAAACAATTTCAAGAGGATTGGAAAATGACCCTTGTAATCAAGGGTGACTTGTTATCGAGGGTCTTGTTATCGAGGTTCCACTGTATTATCTAAATGGGAAATTAATATGTCTTGTTTACTTAAACATATGAGTAAAATTCCAATCACACAAATTTAAATTTGCTTAGACTCCAGTGTTACTGTGGTGGGGGATATTCATAGCTTAGATGTTTTTATGTTTAAGATAGTAGGTAATGATTTTGTTTCACTGACCACGCAACTTGCTGAATTGGTCAGTTTTGTTGTGAGATTGTTTGATTTGAAAAGGAAATAAATATTTTATTCATTTTAGCTGCAGATCAAGCGAGTGCTGAGCCTGCAATTGTCCGGCCAGCTAATGTACCCTTTCAAGTGTATGTGGAGGAAGAGGAAGATTTACCACCCGCACGTCCTAACAGGCAGTCTTACCACCCTGGGTTAGAAATCTTACTAGGAACCCCAGATCCTGACCATCCATCGGTGAGGGTCCCGCAGCGCAACCCCCTCGCGGACATAGTAGACGAGCCTGTCCGCCGTCGGAGAAGACAAGCAAATCAAGAATCTATGTTTATTTCGGTAAGTCTCTGTTTACATCAGATTTCCCAGCTAAGGTCTCCTAATAAGATTTTCAAGGTTAACTTGCAAAGTGGGATTTTTTTAACGCCCTCCACACGCTTTTACTGTAATTTTTTCCAAACTGCGCCAAACCATTCTTTATTTAGCCCTTTTCTGCTTGGCATATAAGTGTTGGTACATGATAAAATTCATCATCAGAACCACAAATTACCTTGGTGGGAGGGATCTACTGGAACTTTAGTTCCACATTCACAATGAAGTGGTTCTCTAGAGGATTCATAACCTTATATAGTACCGCCCTTTCATGTTTATATCATTTCGTCATGTGAGAACGTCCCATCATCTCTTTTTACATGTGGTTCTAAAGCGTATCAAACTGTCTTGAAGGGTTGATTGAATTTTTCTATACTTTTTTTTTGCACGATAAAAAAGAATGGATTAGATTGGACCTAAAGATAGTTTCCAATTATTAATTAAAAACCTTCCTTGGTTAAAAATGCTGCCTGTGCAATAACTGTATAACATACTAATTTTTTGTGTATTGTTCAATGTTATGTCATTCTTGTGCCAAAGTAGACTCTTTTCCATTAAGTTACGTCATCATCACTAGACATCCTTATTCTACCTCAAAAGCACTTATATTTTATGCGTTATGCTACAGCTTTTGAGTTTAGATATGTTGTTTTAAAATTGTATTCAAGATGGAAGAAGAAGCTGAGTAGCTGATAAAGAACTAAGGAGAATATAATTAAGTAAAAATCTTTTAGGTATACCTTTAAAGTTTTTGTTGTGTAATTGATATTGAATGTAAATCTCTTTTAGCATAAAAACAACTCTGTGGAGGAATTTTCTAAAACACATTCTTCATTTCTGCCTTTTTTGAAAATGAATGGTGATCATCTTGGTTATACTAACCTCTGTTTTTATTTATTAAATGCTGAAACTAGTCTCTAAAGCTTTTATAATATTTTTTACTAGGCCTATAAGCATTACAAGCTTTTATTACTTTTGGCTTTGGTATTTACTTTACCTAGTAGATTAAAATGCTTTGTAGTGTATTCAATTTTGCTAACTCAATATCGTCACATTTTACAGACCTTGACCAGGCGCACCTATGGGAGTCTTCGTCACACCTATGAATCGTTCAGGGGAAACTTTGACAGCGGATCCAAGCTTAAAAATGTAAGTTGACCTTTGAATTGTAATAGCTTTTATAGCTTTTTATAGCTTTTTTTACCTTGTCAATAAATCCTTTCAAAAAATTATCAATGATTATGAAAGTTTAGTTAAAAATATGATGGTTTCCGCTTTTAAGCAAATTTCCCATATTAGTGCGTGGAACAAATGTAAAAATCTTTCACTTCCGGAGACCAGCACCATACTTTGGGAATCGACTAAATACATGTAAAATAGTGAAAATCAGCCGGGAGGCAGTGACGTCATCAAAATGGCCGCTCAGCCAATTATAATAATGTCGCATATCTCGGAAACCGCGCAAACCGATTTTAACGTATGACATCTTATTTGAAAGCTTTAATCATTATCTATAAAAGGATTTTTACACTTTTAGCGGTTTAACACGTTTGCTACTGAGCGTCGCATATATGGGACGGTCATTGCCACAGACCGAGGTATACATTTGAATCTTACGCATAGACCGGCTGCAGGGTGTCTACCAACCGGGAAAACCGGGAATTGTACTTAAATTTTTACTGGCCATGAAATGTACGGGAATTGTCCTTAAATGCCAGACTATGTCCTTAAATTTTTAATGGGCCATAATTTTATTGATCGCTAGTTGGTTAGGAGCACATAAAAGGTTTATCAGATGTTTGTTTACATTTTCATAATTTATTACTAGAGTAATTATGCAATAAAAATCCCATTAACAATCTCAAACCCATTAATATTTTATCACGACAATCAAGTGTCAAGTCAAGTACTTCCAAGAACTGTTGACTCAGCAGCTAGCTCATAAAAGTTGTATCACTTTTATTCCTTTACAACTTCTTTTTTTATTACTAGGGTAATTATTATTAGATCCCAAACCTATTTTATCGTGAAAATAATAGCTTTATAATGGCTGTTAAATTTCACTTCTTACTTGTACTTTCGGCTTGAAGATCTACAGTCTTATTTTGTAAGTTAACCCCTTTTTTATGGACATTTTATCATTCAATTGACAAAACCACAAGCATTGTTGTTTGCATTAATGTTTTATCACTATGTAGGCCTGCTTGGTTTCAAATTATGTCATTGCATTTTCTGTATCTTTGTCTTATATTGTTGGCTATTCAGGTTTCAATGTTTTTTGTTTCCCATATATTTATTTATTGAGTTGTATGCTTTAAGCAATCTAAATCTTATGAACTAGAATGATGATAGTGACTTTGCTGCTATTATAACCTCATTGTTTGTTACTCAGTTTATATAGGCCCTCCCAAATAATTAGGTCTAGGCCTGGGTATTTTGATTCTTGAAAGAGCTGTAAAATATATTAAGAAAATGTAATTGAGCCTAAGATGAACAACTAATGATTGCTATGTATAGATATTAACTTTGCAAATGAAAATACAATAATCTTACTCTGTGCTTATTGCTTAATAGCCGCTTACCATATCTTGATTTTGTACTAAGAATTGAGTAACAATATGCATTAAAGATTTTTTTTTCAAAAGTAGTCGAGAACCTAACGTTGTGCCAGGGCGAATCATGCCAAATTAATCGGCCTGGATCGGATAAGCTATGCTATGAAGTTTACGTGACCGATGGAGATATTTGTCGCTATCGCAGGAGACAATGATTGCGTTTCTCTGTTACACTATAAAAGCTTTACCTAAAGTATAGGTAGGCCTATGTTTGTTTGCTTTCAATAAATTTCTTTTTTGAAATTTTTAACTCTTATCTATTATTATTTACTAGGGATGGACGAGATTGGATTTTTAGTTCGAGAAGAGACGAGACGAGATTTTTTATTTCTCATAAAATTTCGAGACGAGATCGAGACGGGATTTCCCTTCTCATACACAACGGGAAATGCACGTACAAAAATTTTTACCTGATTTTGTAACATTGTTAGATGACTGTTTAAATACAAAAATAATGATAATAGGCAAGAATATTTACAATCTTTTATTAAAAAACATCAGCATAACATTTTTTTATTAATCACGCCTAAATTATTAAAAATGCCTACGATTAGGAAACATAGTGATATCAGTTAGGATAGAGTTCAACTTATCCTAAAATAAAATAAATCATAAAATAAAATATTAATTTTTATAAAATAGTTACTTGTTTTGACTTTTTTTATAGTAATAAAACATTCCTCACACTGCTAACACTTAACAAAACTTCTCAAATGTTATTAAAATAATTAAAGTAATATTTACATTTGAAGAATTAATTAAATAAGAACGCCTTCGCAAAGGAAACGCAACTACAACACGCTCCTGTATTGCGGGTATTTGCATTGACTTTTTGCAGGCGTTTTTAATTTTTTTTTTTTTAAATTCTCGTCTCGATAAAAATCTTGGCCAAAAAGAAATCTCGTCTCGTGTAACGAGATTTAAAATTTCCCGAAAATTTCCCGAAATTTCGAGACTTGACCATCCCTATTATTTACTTTTCTCTCTGGTACAACTACAGTGAATAACAAGATTAATACAGTTTGACAAATCAGGAAAATTATTCGGTAGGCCTAATAACACCGACAAAGGTTACGGCAAAGTGTCCTTAAATGTACGGGAATTGTCCATGAATTTTTTATCCAGAATGTAGTAGACACCCTGCGGCTGTCACTTGGTTAACAGTACACACAGACCACGGGCGAAAACCTGTAAAACAGCGATCATTTACATTGTAATACGCTACAATCGTGTTTGTAAATAATTCATTCTTGTTTTTTTTTTTTTTGTATTTTGTATAACCTTTTGTTATGTCGCATATTTGCGACGCCCGGTCTACAGCGAAGACAATAGTGAAAATGATCATAGTTTTTTTTAAATAGACCAAACGTCGCATATATGCGACAGTCCATTTTTGTTTGTGTTTTCAGGTGAAAGTAAATAAACAAAACAGATTATTCAAGAACAGTTTATAACTGAACAAATATAAAAGCTACATAAGATAATGCAGCATACATACTGCATACATACATACAGTAATGGAAAGAAATGACACTATTGTAATTCTTAACAAATGAACAATAAAGAATATTGTATTGTAATGCAGAAAAGTAAAGAACAGTTTTTTTCAACTATCATTATGACGTCACCAATCATCATATCCACAGACCAAGCGACGCAGTTGTGCGTCAGACATCTCTGTAGACCACTGCAGGGAATTCAGTGCTTTCAAATAGACCGTTACAAAGATAAGCATTTTAATAACATTAGAACCCCGTCGCATATATGCGACGACAGTCTATGAGTGGAAACCGGCCGTCGCTGGTCCATGTGAATGGAAAATTTCGTACTATTGCAGTAGCGAACGTGTTAACCAACGGTTTCTTTGTATTTTGGAAAATATTAATTCACCCCCCCCCCCCCCCCCGACGAAATGGGTTTTTGGATTTATAATTTGAAAAAATTGAACTAATCAAAATTTACTTTCCATCATTGAATTAACTTTAAAAAATGAACAATTTAGTATTTTGTGTATACAATATATAATATACATACAATATACAATATATATAGTACCCTATGTATACAATATACATCACTCTATGTATATTGGTTACTGAGATATTGAAAGTGGTAAACACAGAATACTGTCCCCTATGTTATCCTTGATAATGACTATAAAATATTTATATTTACATTTATTTATATATTATATATACATGGTAGCAAACCTACATACAGTAAAAATGTAATCAGACAAGTTGAAATTCGCGTAGTCTGCAGGTTTGCTGCCACGGTAGTTTTATATTGTATACATTAGAGAAGAAGGAATGGATTTAAAAACTCAATTAACCAAGGGAAGATCTCCAGACAGTTGACAGCTCACTAAAAACAGGGTTGCCACCAGCCATGAAAACCTTGAAAAGCTTGAATTATGCATGAATTCTTGTGACCATGAAAAAAGGCATGGATTACGCATGAATTTCTCCATTGAACCATGAATTTTTAAAATCGGGATTAATTATTCAATCAGTACAATTAAATTTGCCAAATAAAATTTTTTTGTATATTTAAAAACAGTTCATAGAAACCAACACCAAGAGAATACTGTCTGGAGATGATTATTTAACATGTTCCATGATCAGAAACAATTGCTTAGTTAGTTCATTCCAAGTCATTCGAGGTTAGATGCTGATGATGTCAGCTGAGTCTTTCCAAACACTTAATATGGTTCGAAAAATCATTACTAGGCCAATTCCCGGGTATGGATAAAGGGACTTGAATCACAAAAACAGAAGTTTCAGACCATGCTCGGAATTGAAACGGGGTGTGCAATAAAACAAAATTTCCGACTCTTGATGCCTGATTTTTTTAGCTTTGTAGATAAACCAATCATATCTTAGTACGTTGTGTAATAAGGTAAAACCAGTAAACTTAAAGGATATTTTATGACATTCATGTGGAGGGATAAAACAGGACTTTTTTGGCCAGGTGTACGGTATCTTTGTTCCGGTATGTTTATTCTGGTGGAAAGACTGAAGTAGACCTACACTTATATACAGGGTGATCAACTCAAGGAGGCCACCATTGGGATATCGGAAACGGTAAGATTTAGAGAAAACTTTAAATGTGATAAAATATGATTTTAGTTTTTCGAAATTCAGCCGCCATTATCCAAAATGGCGGCCAACTTTGAAATTTCTTATGGAACACCCTGTATTTTATCATGTTTTCGGATAGAACATGCAATTTAAAAACTTTTATTCTTGACATTTTTTCGATAAACCCACTCGTTTAGGAGTTACAGCCTATGGAAAAATGACTTCCGGTGTACATTTAACATCATGTAGCTCCAAAAAAAGTAGGTTTATAATACAGGGTGTTCCATAAGAAATTTCAAAGTTGGCTGCTGTTTTGGAAAATGGCGGCTGAATTTTGAAAAACTAAAATCATATTTTTAACTTCCACAAAAAATAAAGGAATGTCCCCCATTTAAAGTTTTCTCTAATTCTTATCGTTTCCGATATCCCAATGGTGGCCTCCTTGAGTGGATCACCCTGTATAGATATTTTACAATTCTTCTCCAATGTGTCGTATTAGCTGGACCCGTTTTGTTTTCATCTTTGTTTTGAATGTATATTTATAAATCACTCTAAAATAGTTCAAATTCATGTATGAAAGGTTCAGAGAAACTGCCTCTTTAATGTCAATTTCTGAAATCAGCAAAAATCAATTGTGTTGAAATTATATGAGCGGACCGACCATGAATTTTTTTTCAACTGCCCATGAATTCTGCATGGATTTTTTGATCCCACTATGGTGGCAACCCTGAAAAAGCTCACACCCTAGAAGAAAGCTTCTACAGGAGGAAGTAACTATCATGCTCCCTTTAGCACCTTTGTGTACAAAAGGTTTAAAATTAAACTCAATGTGTGTTTGAAGTAAACATATAAAGTATTTAAATTCGGTTACTGTAATTTTGGTTTTAGTTGTGATTGTGGTGAGAGACAATATTGTAGGCCCTATATGTTTTTACACAAGCCGTTTCAGTTCAGTTCTTAGAATTGAAAAAATCACTTAACAGCATTGTTGTTTTACTTTACAACAGTGATAACGGACCAATGTTTAAGGGTTGAGAGAAAAGTGAAATTGCACCTTAATTACTTCCTACCTATAATCATTATTTAATGCATTCATTTTAAGAAATCACAAATTGTTTGCTATTTTTACTTTACATTCAATAGAAACATTCTTAAAAAACGTAATTATTGTTTTCCGACCGAAAATAAAAAATTGTATATTTAGGCAAATGACCTCGGATAACCCCGGGCCCAGAAACCGGGGCTCGGCTAAACCAGGGTTTGGATAATCGAGAGTGTGCTGTACTAAAGAAATTTCCTCTCATCTTTCAAATTGGGCCAAAATCTTACTAGCTCGTATTTTTTATAGTTTTGTTGAAAGATGGTAGGAATAATGGATCACTTTTGAGGAAGAAATAATAATTACTACGTAATTACTACGTAAAGAATTGGTTTACAATCCAGTAACATGGAAGTAAATAGGCAAAAAATTAACAGGTATATATAGTAACTGTTAATTTTTTGCCTATTTGCTAACTTGATAAAAGCGTTCATCAGCTTGAGTTGGGTTTTTTTTCTAGTATAGTTTAGAAGGTGTATTTTGCTTTACATTTTGATTTGATCTTTTTTACAGAGACAATTTGATACAAGCATTTTTACCCAGAGAAATGAACAGCAAATCCTAGAACTGAGAGTAAGTAAATATTTTCTTTTTGAATTCAATTTTATTAACTTAACCTATGATAAATTTGTAACAATAACCAATGAAAAAGGTGATAAATCCCAAAAACATATTTCCTAGGAATCAACTGGTGTTATTTGTCTATCAGAATTTGAGATCATTTATGAGGCTGGAAGTACTTTTTGTGTGCTCTCTTGCAGTGATTGACTTCCGACGGAATGTTATACTTAAATTATTTTGTCTTCATAGTTTAAGACTATTGTGTATTTACAGTATGTATTCATTGCTTTCTTCATGAGTCTAAAAGAATAACACTTAGTTGGTCAGCTTTAAGTATTGAAAGGAACTTACCTACATGGTTTTTAGGATTTTTTGAGAGGATAGCAGGCTTACCTGAATGGGAAGGAGTCCAAACTGGCACAGGAAACACAAAACTTTACACCATATACGCAAAACATTACAAAATTGTGGCCAGTGAGTTGTTGAGTCAGTGTTGTCAATAGTATGAATTCAAAAAATACAGTTTCAGTTTATCTTATATACATACACTATATACAGGGTGTTTTTTTTTTAACTTGCATCTTTATTAAGGTAAAAACCGCAATAGATAGAAATATGCAGTTGGCGGGAATCATCTGTTGACGTAGAGTATTAAAAAAGAGCATGGAAAAAGAAAATGTTTGGTGAAAAAAATTTAAAATCGGCTCATGAATTTGTGAGATAATCCCTCCCCTTTTCCCCTACCCATAACTTTTTTTAATAGCAAGGTACCCCCCCCCCCTTGTGACATATCAAATGAAAAATAAATTTCACCAAACATTTTCTTTTTTCATGCTCTTTCATTTGATATGTCACAAGGGGTACCTCGCTATTAAAAAAAAATTAAGTTCCGGTGAGAGGGGGGGGGGGAAATATCTCACAAATTTATGAACCGATTTTGAATTTTTTCATCAAACATTTTCTTTTGTAATGCTCTTTCATTTGATATGTCACAAGGGGTACCTTGCTATTAAAAAAATTAAGTTGGGGGAAAGGGGGGGGAATGTAAATGTAACGTTGAATTCAAAACAATTGGGCCCCCTACATCAATAGATGATTCCCGCAGACTGCATGTTTCTATCTATTGCGGTTTTTACATAAATAAAGATGCAAGTTTTTAAAAAAACACCCTGTATATATGAATAAGTATGTAAGCCTGCTTGCTGGGTTAAATGTTGAAGTGAAGTGGGTTAGATGAAAGGTGTTATCCAGTAAATACATCTTGTCTATGGCCATTCATCCTGGTTCTGAGCCTATTGGTGGATAGGCCTACATACTGTGCCTCACATTGATTACACTGTAGTTGGTAGATTATGTTCTTGAATTGACAAGTGTTGAAGCCTCGGATGTAGTTTTCTTTGGTTATAGAACTGGAAAATGTTTGGCTTGGTTGATTTATTTGACATGTTTTGCTATCACAGGGTTATGATCCGTGAGGGCGTGCGTTGTTTGGGTTGTTGGCCGGGTCATGAACTTTTGGGTGGACTAGTATCTTTCTTTCGGGTGGTTGTCTGAAAACAATGTTTGGCGGATCTTTCAAAAAATTGATCCACCAATAGCCCTAGAACCAGGATGAATGGCCATAGACAAGATGTATTTACTGGATACAAAGACAAACCAGCTGTACAACATGTCCCGAGCCATAACAACCCAAATTTCAATGACTGCTATACAACTAAGATAGTCAGATCCCTGCCTCCTCAATGTACAGTCACAACTGAGAAGATGGGAATTATCTTACCAGGTTTACAAAGTCTAGGAAACCCCCAAATATAAACCTTGTTGGATAACACCTTTTATCTAACCCACTCCACTTCAACATCCACCCAACAAGCAGGCTTACATACTTATTCATATATATAGTGTAAAAGATAAACTGAAGCTGTATTTTTTTAATTCATACTATTGGCAACACTGACTCAACAACTCACTGGCCACCATTTTGGACATGTAGAAAACTCCTTCTTCTTAGTTGGAAATGCTTTCAGTGACAGTGAAATATTGTAATGTTTTTTGTATATAGTGTAAAGTTTTGTGTTTCCTGTGCCAATTTAGACTCTTTCCCATTCAGGTAAGCCTGGTATCCTCTCAAAAAATCTTAAAAGTTACACCATTGATACATGATTGATTGTTACTAATGTAATTTTTACCTCTTACAAAGTGTATTTACTTCTGGTAAAACAAAATATTTTTTTCCTTTAAGTTGTTATTTAAAAAAATTCAATTTGTCACTTCTTACATAGGATTTTGCGGCTGGTGTCATGAGAGTTCATCAATTGTGTCGTAACTAATACATTTACTATAAAGGGACATCTTCAGTGGCTAGGTGGAGACTGACAAATTTAGATCTCAATCTGCCACTCGTTACTTTTGAAAATCATAAATCAAATACTTCTGGCCGAACACTGAAGAAACATTTTTGCAAGACAAATACTGTTCATTGTATTTTTTTTATTTTTAAACATTAACTGATTCAGATTAACTTAACGGATTCAGATGAGTTTGGTTTGTCATCATCAGTAATCAGTTCATCACCCTGTTTCACTTTCCAGGAGGTTGCTGGCTATATCATCAGACAAGAGTTTTTATCTGATGAAGATGAAGAAGATCAAGGGTGGAGATATCAACATGTATTGGAGCCCCCTCGCTCAGGCTGGCCGTTGGCAGAAGATGATATCCTCGACAATGATTGGCTACGCTTCAGCTGGCGAGATCATTTTCAGTGGCGTCAGTTCACTGACGAACAACACGTAAGTTTTCTCTCATCTCCCCCCAAAATTGTCTTCCTAAAATTCTGATTTCCTGGAATGTTTGAAGGAATTTGCATAATATATAAAATCACTAAATCAGTTTTACAAAAGTAAAAACCCAAATTTTCTAATTAATGGATGATTCTCCACAGGAGATAGGGATACTGTTACTTTACATTAATAGTCAGGAAAATATCTAGCTTAGGCGAAGTAATACTTATTATTTCTGCCATCTATTACTACCCTGTACTGATTGCGGTTCAGGAAGAAACAATCAGTGTTATTTGACTCCCCTTGTTCACACAGTTGATATAACATAACGAAAATACTACGGTATTTTCAAAGTTTTATTATTAATGTATTATATAATTTAGCAATGCTGGCCTAGTTATGTTTGCCATAATTTTGTGCTTATTATTACGTTAAATAAAACACCCCCCCCCCCCTATATTACCTACATAGATGATAGCTGTGGGAACCAGTTACCACCAGTCATCAAAAACATAGTCTTGGCACCTACTTTACGGTAGATACAATTAATGAACTCGCTAATAAATTTACTGAGGAAAAAATAAAATATGTCACCAGGAAAAATTCACTTAAATCATTGTATGAATAACAGCAAAAAATAATAATTTTCAGCTGTCACAAATAACTTTGGCACCTTCACTTTGCCAGCAAAGGACAGGCAAACTTGTAATTTACCTTTTAAACTAATGGGCGATTGAGATAGCTGCAGTATTTGTACCCTTGAACCCCTTTAAGCTAACTTTCCTTGATCTTGTAATCTCTAATCTGCCCCAGCTTATTCCAAACAATAAATGCTAATTGAAAACTCCATAGTTCCTAAAAATTAACTGTATTTTCCATATATTTATGTGGAAGGTGATAACGTTATTGTAATTTAGATTACCTAGTTGTTCACAGAGAGAATGTTTCCTGTTATTCTGTTTTTAAACCTATTAAAATGTAGGCCTATGAGGTGTTTTAGGGTTAAACAATAATTATTATTATTACAGGAAATTAGACCGGACCCAGTTCTTCCTGAGAATTTCCGCTATGACAGAGCACCTCTTGTGAGGTAAGATTTTATGTCTTAGAGTCTGTTCACAAAAAAGCATAATTTATTGATCAATTTGTTTTAACAAGTGTTCTCCTACAAAATAGACCCCTAGGAACCTACACACTTGTTCCAGAGCTCCTCCCACTTTTTGAAACAAGCCTGGAACTCTTCCTTCTAATGGAAATAATTTGGTTCGTGCTGATTTAAGAATGAACCAGAAGTATTGAAAGCCAACCAATATAAATGTGAAAATTAAGTAACAATACTACATCATAAAATAAACTCTATTTTCTTTAATACAGATCAATAATAATAAACTTAACGATTGCTTTATTGATATATAGGCTTATTAATTAATTGTTAGTGAAGTGTGAATTTCCTTAGGCCAACCATAAAATTAGCTGTGTCCATTAATGAGGTTAGGTCAGCAACTATCATCTTGTTCAATTTTTATTTAGTTAATTTTTTACTTTAACTTTTTTAAGGTAAAGGATCCATTACAGAAACACATGTTGTATTTAATTTTTAAAGAAAATCATGCCGTGCTGCATCGAATCAAATCGCATCAATTCAAATTGAAATTCTTTGAATCGCATCGATGCATCGAATCGAAAAAAATATGCTGCATCGCACACCCCTAGTTATGAATCCACTAACTTTGTTTAGGTATTCAGTTTTACTGAGGATAACGATGCAGTTTCCCTCATCAGCTTTTGTGATAACGATTGTTTTGTTCTATCTTCTTATCCCTAATGTTGTCAGCAACTTTTTTTAAAGGTTTATATTTTGTAAAGTATGATTTTCTAATGTTAGGATTTAAGACGGTGTTTTTTTCATTTTGTTTGTGATCATTACTCTTGCTGTATCACATGTCTCATTGTTGTTTAAATATTTGACAGCTGTTTCTGCATTTAGTAGTTCTGATATCAAGCTATTATTGGGAAAATTATACTCTTTTTTCTTCTGTGATTTTACTAGTGAATCAATCTTTTAAGTTTGGGATTTTTTTTGAAAAATTGTCCTATTAATTTGAGAATCCAATTCTGATAACACATTTTTAGTTTGTGAAGGGTGAATGCTGCTTAAAAGTGCTAAATGCGTGTTAATTAGTAACTTGTTCAACATGCATTTTTGGCATGCAACGACTTGATTTCATGTTTAATCCAAGTGGTTTCAGCGACTTTTTTGGCTTTTCTAGCAGCTTTGGAGATATTGGTGATTTTAACTAATACATATTTAGGGAATAATCCATAATCAATGCATTTTTATTAAATTTTATGTTTTCTATGGTTTTGAAAAGTTTTATCTTAACGTTCTTATGTAGGCTAATTGAACTTGACAAGTTGCCAATTTCATGGTGGGTATTCCAACATGTGTCTTGAGCAACTTAAAGCCGCAATTTTGTTTGTTCATTAGTTAAGTTCTTTGGGACAAATTTTACAGGAACTCTGCGCAGTAATACGTCAATCCTCCATTACTAAAACTCGACCTAGATCAATAATTTCATCGTTTCGACTTGTTGATGGTCTCCCAAGACAAGGTCAATGTGTTGTACCATTTTTTTATCTGGGTTGTGTGTTCCACCCATAGCGTTTTCTCCCGAGGCTGAATCTTAAGAATTGTTTGAGCTTTATTACCCATTTTTGGCCAAATTTAATAATTTAATACAGTTTTATCTGTTCCACACTATGTACATTTTCATGTTCGGCGGCTGATTAAGAACTGAGGCCATGTCAAGGTCACGTGACGTGCTTCACAGTTGCTTTGATCTACGCACCAGGGTGCAGCTCAATGCGGAAACAAGTCAGATGCAATCTAATTTGAAACTACCTCATATACAAGTTTTAATCATTTAAAATATAGCCAACTCAGAACTAAATGTAGGCCTACTCTTAAGCAATTGGCTTTCTAACACATGGTCGCTTTTAACCCTTCGTATGTACATTACTACTTCTTATGTTTAGTGGTTTATTCAGTAAAACTAAACACATCGTTCACATTTGCACAAGTTTTGACGTGATATGCCAGTAAATTCAAGCAATGATCTCTCAGATCAAATTATTTTTGGTGAAAAAATAACAATATAACAAGACTCTACTTCATTAAAACCATGTAATAAATTACAGTTATTCAATCAAAAGCGTGACTTCCCATTTTTAAGCCTTGATTACCAAACTTTATTTAATTCAAGTTTTTGAATGGTGAAGATTTGTTGCTAGTCCCTTTGTGTTTTAATTATCCAAGTTAAACTGTTTAATTATTTATACAGGGTGATTGATATAAGTGTGCCAGCCGTTTTATTCGAAAACTATAAGAGATATCAAAAAAAGTTAAATGGTAAGTGCCTTGGATTTTTTATTTAAAAAATTATTGTCAAGTCAAAAAAATTATTTTAGCCGCCATTTTTTCAATATGGTCGCCAACTATGATTTTTCTTATGGAACACCCTGTATTTTATGATGTATTCTGGTAGAAAAATTAATTTTAAGACGATTTTATTCTTGTAATTTTTTTCATAAACTTAACCGTTTCAAAGATAATAATGGTTTAAGTTGTGAAATTTTGAATGGTTTTCGAACAAAACAGCTGGAATGCTTGCTTAGGCCTTTATCGAAACTCTTTCTCATGCAGAAATTTCAAAACTTTAACCATTATTATCTTTGAAACCGTTAGGTTTATGAAAAAAATCACAAGAATAAAATCGTCTTAAAATTACTTTTTCTACCAAAATATATCATAAAATACAGGGTGTTCCGGAAGAAAAATCTAAGTTGGCGGCCATATTGAAAAAATGGCGGCTAAAATAATTTTTTTGACTTGACTAAAATTGTTTAAATAAAAAATCCATGGCACTTACCATTTAACTTTTTTTGATATCTCTTATAGTTTTTGAATAAAACGGCTGGCACACTTATATCAATCACCCTGTATACCTGTGTGCGTTTGTAAGTGTAATTTGGTGTTAATAAAATTTGTATTTTTCAGTGATATGGTAAGAATGACTTACCCGAATTGGGACGATGCACACTATAATATACAAGGTAAGCAATAGCTTACTAGTATTATGTTTATCCTATGTAAGATTTACTATGCAAGTAATGTACACGGATCAGTTCCTGTGTTTTTTGACTAGGTATTTGTAAAGTTTCTGCGCAATCCACTCCTTGCTGTGGGTTGTGTACATAAGTAATAGCCAAGAGTTACTAAATACTTGTAAAGCTCCTGGGCAATCCACTCCTTATTTATTTATTTATTTCCAAAAAATACAAATTTACAAAACTCATACAATTCCAAGCCACAAAAGCCAATATGGCTTGTCTGCAGCAATTATTCTAATTTTGTTATTTCACAGTGCTTTTTTTACAATCAGTCTTTGTTACACAATCAGTCTTTTGTTTTCCTTGTTTTTCTGTAAGAATTCAATAATATACCAAACCAATCATAGAATTTAAAGTAGTCAGATTTTAACAACCCTTGCTATGGGTTGTGTACATGCTATGTTTTATCTAAGTAATAAGGAAGAAAATAACTATATTTATTTAAAAGAATTAATTGTGATTACGTCTACTATATATGTTTACAACTTTATATTGATAAATGCACTATATATACATACATATATCTATACATATATCCATACATAGAGCAGCACTGAGTAGACCAGCCAACAGTTTGTAGATTTCACCGTTTGCGTTGAGATCTTCCCCTTTGATTTACAAGATCTTATCTACATTGGACCTTCTGTTCCAGACCCGAAAGTTCCTTATCTTTTGTCCTTAGTTAGGGCAGCTTGGTTGAACTTGGTACTACTTTTTTTTTTTTTTTTTAGATCTGCTGGCCCCCATACCACCTCCTGAGGAGGTATATCAGCAAGATCAAGCTGGTGCAGTTGGCCAATCCACCTCGCGCGAACCGGTAAATACTTGAGTTATTTAGTTAAACAATGAAACTATTTACTTGTTCATTGTTTTTAGTTAATCAACGTTAAAATCTAAGCAGTTTTCAATTTGGACTGACATTGTTCTTGTTTCTAACGAATACCCTTCATAGGGTAATACCTTGTGCTTGGAGGGTCAATGTATCAATCAATTGCTGTGAAACATTAGTGGCTATCAACTAGCCTACTTAGAGCTGTTTTCTTAAGTTATTTGTGTATCCATTCATTCTTCCTTTAAGTGTTCCTTAGCTATTTCCTCCAAATAAGGATACAATATTCGAGACTGTTTAGTTTAAAGTGGTTTTGCTTGGAATATGTTACCACAATAAAATGCAAAATACTTTTTTCTCATCTTTTAAAGAGTTGTGTATTATTTATATTTGCCCAGTCACTTTTTAGATCTATTTTTGTTCAATTTCAGACTCCGGCCAGAGTTACAGGCGAATTCCAAACACCTTCTCTTCGTATAGCTCACAGCCATAGCAGTAAGGACACTCTTAAATCATTTGGTTCATCCATCCTCGCAGTAAGTAGGCCTATTATAAAGTCTCGAAATTTGAGGGAAAGAGGTTTTGGCATATTGTATTGAAATTTGTATACATGAAACAGTTGCAGGGCTAAAATAGTTGTAGTGCAAAAAGAACCAGTTGGTGTTAAGGACAACATCTGTGCATTTGCAGATTTTTCTGAAGAAAATAGTCTATAAGATGAGACATTGTTCATTTGTTACAAAATTTGTGTATACAAACAATTTACCGCATTGTAGATATAGATATAACTGTACCCTGTTTGCTCAACTGGTGAAGGCTGAAGCTTGGGCATACCTGCAATTGTGTAAATAGGGATGGACCTTAGGTGAACAACACTCCCTCAGCAAACAGGGTTCTGGTGTATAACTAACCCTTTAGACAAAGTTAACTTTAAATATTTTTGGTATTTCTTATTGTATTGTATTGAAGGTACAATACCAAATGCATCTAAATATTAATAATAGCTGTTCATATTTAATTGTGAAACTAGATGAAAAATATTTAGGAGCTTAAATTGTAAGGGCAATAGGCTAGGAGGATTAAACATTAAGGAGAGGACGCGCTGTAGTTTCGTTGAAGCCAGCGTACTGGGGGGGGGGGGGGGAGGCAGCGCTACTCTCCCGCCCCCCCTCTCGTGTGTTGTATGGGTTACTGTGAGATTTGGTAACATAAATATTAAATATATCAATTAACTATTTAAAAATTAGACTACCGGTACATCATGCTACGAAGATTAAAAACTTAAATTTTAACCGTAATATTAGGAACCTACTAAGAGAGAAGTCATATTTATGAACCAATAGTAAGTTTTTTAGAATCCATTGTCCTTGTTTTTATTTTTGCCATTCTTATATTTATTATTAGTTATAGTACTATTCATAAATTAAAACTCAAATCAATGAGGAGTACTGTATGTGTATTTGAACATTTTTCTTAAAGAGAAATAAAATAAGCTTTAATCCTTTAACACCTAACACAGCTGAAAACAACGTACAGGCGCTCCCCAGTGGCGGGCGAAGCCCCGGCAAGCAACCGAATCAGCGAACGCAATTGGCATTCAAATATTTCAGTCTGACGAATCACAAAAGAGCAGTGGTGACTGTGCTGCATTACCCCGAGAGTGGATGTAGTTCACTGAAACACCCAAAGGTAGCAGCACTGCACGGATCCGTATCCAGTGTCTTTGTAATGTGGGTTGAAGAGAAAAAAATCCCCGAAACCGGGACAAAAGCATTGCCAGACAGGATTTTACGGGAAATTTTAGTACCAACCTACACCAAAGTAAAGCTCGCATTCTAAGCTGGCAGGCTGGCAACGATTATAACGTCTCTGTCTGAGGCTTAGCTCACACTGACTCAATATTTCTGTTGGTCTGATGCCGACTTTTGTCGGCGCGCGCCACATTGAAGTGCTAGCGACGCCGACTAGAGTCGGCATTAGCAGTCAACGTGTTAAAAGAATTATAAACACACTTTGGCATCAGAAGACGCGATGATTGTTGAACATTAAACACTTTTGACTCGAAGTTTCTTTGGGCAAACAGATAAAATATAGTTCAATATGATATTAAAAATCAAGAATTTGATTGGCTAGAAATTGTTTTACTTTTTATGTTTGTGATTCAATTGTAACGGCTGTTAGTGTAAAAAACAGTAGAGCGGCTTTGCATTGTTTCTTAACTTTGGCTATTTAAAATCACCTGCCTAGCACATAAATGCCTTAAAACTAGTAAAAAATTGTATTAACAAATCGACTCGACTATGAAAAATGCAAATTTGAAATGTATTTCACCACTCAAATTAAATTTTTCATTTTAACCTATAATTAGTAAGATTGTTTCATTAACTGGAAAAAAAATACCGGTATTTTGTTATTATTTTTTCTAAATTCCATTTCTAAATATAGTTAAATATATATTTTTTATTTCGAGAAACTCTTAAGGAACACGAATAAATTGTTAATTTGTATAGATAGATACATTTTTTTTTTTTTAAAACATAAAGTAATCATATGTTCAAAGTCCAATCCAATTCTTTCAACTTTGATCTTCAATAATAAATTATAGTTTTTATAGAAATAATTGACACCGTTTGATAGGAAATTTAATTTACTTTAAGAATGCCATTGGAGAATAGCACAGGTGTTTTAGTTTAGCAGCAATTTTAATTTGAAACAGTGCGCGTCACGTTTTACCCTATCTCTCCCATGTTATAGCTGCGGCTTTTTGCCACTCTATGGCTCCGCGTGCTTTCCTAGTGTTCTGCTAAAGCTGGCTTCACCGCAACATGTGTATTCCTATTCGCATGCCCTATCCTTAATGTTTAATCCTCCTAGGCAAAAGGAGAAAATATATCATGGTAAATGTTTGTTTTTCCCTTTTTTCATAATCTGAAAGGGACTGAGTTGCACTCCAGCAAGATATCACATAGTGTGTTGTATGGGTTACTGTGAGATTTGGTAACATAAATATTAAATATATCAATTACCTATTTAAAAATTAAACTACCGGTACATCATGCTACGAAGATTAAAAACTTAAATTTTAACCGTAATATTAGGAACCTACTAAGACTATAATTAATAATATTACTAAATTACTTATAACTTACCTATATACTATATAGGTAAGTTTATGTTGGTATATAGTATCAATATGTTTTTAATCTGTAATGATCATTAAACGTGATCATTAATCCGACTACCATAAAAATACACATAAAATTTCCGATTACAGCTAATTTTTACCTTTTAATTTTATAGAAAAACATAAACTACCCACAGTTTTTTATGTTTACCAGCAGAGCATGTCAATTTTTTTTAAATCTTTACATTGAAAAAGCTCTTCAAATAAATAAATAACTCTTTGGCAGAAGATGATTCAAAACAATTTTTTTTATTATTTTGGTTTATTTTACTTTTTTAATTTGGTAGGAAAATGGTGGATTTACAAAATTACAAATTTTGATCTTATTAAGATTCATTTTTCAATAAGAGCTGAGATTATGTGAGATTATTCATGTAAAGACTTATTTGGTTGTTTTAACAAACATCATAACATTCTGATAAGTGTTTAGACCATGCTCCAGCATTTTTTAATTTAATATATTTTGCAGCCACCATCATCTGTGTCCAGTGGAACCGAAATTGTCAAAAGCATCGGTTCATCGGGACTTGGTCTTGCGCCGGTCGAAGAGGAGCAGGAGGTTACAGCAGGACCATCAGGTAATATCTTCCGCTGCAGCAAATCTGCAGACTTAACAAATCTTCATTTGTCTAGTTGGATTTTCACTCAAATATTTCCTTAAAATCATCAGATTTATTCCCTATTTAACATTCAGTTCAATGAATGATTAGATTTGCTACCACAGAGAATTAAAAATTTCTTTTTTAGTGAATTTTTTATAGCTGAGTATTAATTTTTTTTTAACTTTCTGAGCCCATTAATTGTACAGCTACATTTTGGAGAAAAATTATTTTTATTAAGCTTTGCATAATGGCTGGGAACAAAATTATGAAGTGTTAAGTATTAGTGGTTAAAATGGGAAACCTTGTTTTTCAACATAAAATCTCATTCCCGTAATCCGATCATGCTGGTTCACTAACTGTTTGAAATAAATGTAGGCTTTCTTTTTTGTAAAAATTTAATCTAAATCAGAAGATTTTTACTCGAGTTATATCATGATAATAGAGTTCTATCATGTAAATTTGAAGGGATGGTGCTTTGGCCTCTGGAGACATAAAAATAGAAAAAATCTGTCTCATTTATTTGTTACAGAGGAAAAAAGTGAGTATATTTCATACCTAAATATAAGTTAATATGCTGTTTACAAGAAACATTTTTGTATGTGTTGAATACAGAAATATTTCCCAAGGGCTTATTTATGTTTTGAGTCTTAATTTTAGAGAAAATATTTTGATTTCATTAAACTTTAATCAATATGTTTTCAAATATGGTTTGCGAATAAAAAATACATATTGAAGTACAATGACTAAACAGTAGAGCCCAAGAAATTTACTTCTTTAAAAACTAATTAAGCTTTTTGTTAACCATGCTTTCTTGTCCAGGTGAAGGAGCACAACCTGCCTTACCATCAGGGTCCGCACCCGATGTGTGGTGGTTAAATCCAGCTACAGAGCAACCTGCACAAGATCCCCACGAACCAGCAACAGAGCAACCTGCACAAGGTATTAGAATTAAAAATCTTTTTCATAAATATATATTTTTTTAAGAGGTTGGCGACCTCTTTTAACCATGCATTTGCTTGTTCACATCTAGACTACAGATCTGTGCGTGGAACGTATTTAGCCAAGCAAGGGGTGAGCCGGTACAGTACAAAGGTGAACTGTACTGCTGAAATGTTTGTGGCAGTGACCAGGATCCGAACAAACGACATCGCTGCCTTGGGCCGGAAGTTCGTGATGCTACAAACTGAGCCACCGACTACCATAAAAATACACATAAAATTTCCGATTACAGCTAATTTTTACCTTTTTATTTTATAGAAAAACAGAAACTACCCACAGTTTTTATGTTTTCCAGCAGAGCATGACAATTTTTTTAAATCTTTACATTGAAAAAGCTCTTCAAATAAATAAATAACTCTTTGGCAGAAGATGATTCAAAACAATTTTTTTTATTATTTTGGTTTATTTTACTTTTTTAATTTGGTAGGAAAATGGTGGATTTACAAAATTACAAATTTTGATCTGATTAAGATTCATTTTTCAATAAGAGCTGAGATTATGTTTTTATTTCTTGTGTTATATCAAGCTGTATCTGCACCAGAAACAGTGCAACCCGCACAAGGTCCACCTGGTGACCACCAAGTACAAGTCCAACCCGAACCTCCTCTACCTGAAGCAGGAAGAGCAGAAGACTTTGTCTTCGCAGTACCTGAAGTACCACGAAGATCTACAAGAGCGAGAGACCCTGTCAAGTAAGTGCTACGAAACAGTAAATAACTTGATCAGCATCAAACGTGTTATTAAATTACCTGAAATTACAAAAATACATGAAATAGGACTTGATCTTATCACACTCCCTTTAAAATTGATCATAGTCCAGTCAAAATATATAAATTAATGACCTAACCTCCGAAAAAATGTCTTAAGTTTTATTTACCTAGGGAAGATTATACCAAAAGTCCCCATAAATATGAGGCGAGTTAGAGTGGCAATTAGTGAAAAATGGCCCATTATTTTGTTTTTGGCTAAACTCTCCAGAACCATTTACTGGAGCTAACAGTGACCAATACTAATTAAAAGATTATTAAATTTCCAACAAAAATTATAATTTACACTTTTTTTTAATTCCAAATGGTTACCGAGTTAGGGCACTAAAATACGGCTAACTGTCTGTAGGCCTACCTTATGTAAGAAGTCAACCTTGATAACAAGTCTTATTTTACAATCCCCTTGAGAGTCTTGTTATCAAGGTTCTACTGTATACATATATCATGGTGGCGATCGACCGGGGAAACCGGGAAAAGTTGGGGATATAAACAATTCTGGAAAAGTCAGGGAACTTTGCAAACGATCAGGGAAAAATATGCATTTTATTAATTGTGTTAAACACGTAGATTGGATATATCGATGATTACAATAGAAAAGTATAACCGCAGAAAATTTACATTAATTAAAATTGAATGAATGTTGTTGCGTAAATACGTCGCCGTTGTGAGTTTGCATTATCGTGTTGACAAGAGGTTTCGTCTGGTAGTAGCAGCGAGGAAATCGGGCGGGGGATAGTGGCCCACTCCCACTCTGCTCCTTGGCTTTATTGTTATTAAAAATTACTTCAATAATTCAATAAATGTTGTTTCTACAAATAATTATAATTAACGATTAATATGATCATTACCAAAATAAATAATAGATTAATATTGATTGCAAGATAATTATTTGTTCTTCCAAAAGGTACCGATAATTTATGACTCAACTGAATGAACTCCAAATAATTATGTTATCTAGGGCTGGGTGAGTACTCGAGTAATAAAAAATATTTGAGGCTTGAGTTTTTGGGTTGTGTAATTGTTTTTGTGAGACCCGGCCGCCTGCCACCACTTTTAGAGAGCCAACACTCCCCCTTCCCCCGCCGACCCACATGACAACAGCTACGTTACGAATGCCTCAAGGTCAATTTCGTTGCTCAATCTTCTCTTTTCCTCCCTCGCTTTTCTCTCACTCTTTCTCTCTCGCACACACACTCCCTCTGTTCTAACGTTGTTCTCACTATATTTCTTTCTATCTGTTATTTAAATTACAGGACGTATAACTAAATGTCTCACACTAATGCATTAGCTAAATACAACCTAACATTTACAACATACTTCAAATTAAATACGTACTATTTTGTTCACTTAGTTTCTGCAAACATTTGTACAAACCGATTTATCCTTGTTTCGTGATGTAAAGTTAGATGTTACAGTATGATTTCGATAAAATATATATATATATACAGAACTGATAAAAATAATAGTTATTTGATATTAAAATTTGTTTTTTAGTAGAATACCTCAACAACAAAAAATGAAATGTCGGATTCTTGAATTTGGTGGGTGGTGGGGTGGGTAGTGGCGATTATGATGATGCACGTGCTCAGTGACTCATAGCGACTTTGACTGATAAAATACCAGCAGCAAGTTTATCTAAGTTATATGGTAGGCCTATATCTGATTATCTGAATAGCCCAAAACTGTAAGTTAGCACTGATAGCCTAAATTTTTAAATTTTCATTTTCCTTCTTATCATCTTGATCTTATTATATATTTTGAAATTTAGGTAGGCCTACTCCATCGGTTACTAACCATAAAATATTTATGTCTTAGTTTACAAAAATGTACAAAAAAACTGTTTTCACTTACTAAGTGTACTCTCACTGTATAAGGTTAGAGGTACTAACTACATTGAATAAACAATAACATCTTCAGACAAAATAAAATCAGCTGATTCGTTTGTAAACAAGTACGTTGACTTTCACCACAGCTGATTTAAAAAGTTTGGGTGTTTCGTGTGAATTTTAAAAACAGTAAAAAGCTGTGTAATTTTTAAGCCCTCCTAATGATTGATAATTGTTAAAAAAAAGACACTTTTGGGATTATGTAATATTTTATTATTGTTTTAAATAATCTAAAATTGTTTAAAAATAACTTTCAAAGCGGACGTAGACTGTTGCATTGTTGTGGCAGACTTAGGCCACATGCCTCGGCAAGCACTACATCTAACCTCCAGGGGTCACGTATTACTAAAGCTGCGATATCTCAGTTAATATTCATCCAATCTTAAAGGTTAAGGTGTCAATCGATTTGTAATTAAATTATCTTATAATTTTTTGTAAACTCAACAGTTTTTGAGTAATTTAAGAAACAAAATTTTAAATGGCCGCCATTTCGTTTTATGAATTTTAAAAATGTTCATAATTTTTTTTGTACCTTTGTCTAGTTGTCATAAATGTTTTTGCAAAGTTCAAATTCCGTATCTCTTACCATTTTTTAGAAAAAAATTAATAAGCAAAAAAAACAAAATGGCGGCTGTGTGAGTAACTAAGGACTTCCAGTCAATTTAAATATGATATTTGGATTTGTTTCTTACCCAGGAACAATACCTTAAAATATCCGACACGAATTCTGAAACACCCTATATAGTGATTATATCCAAGTAAGAACATCGATTTGACGCAAATCACATATATTTTTGGTCAGGGAAAAGTCAAGAAATTTAAAAATCTGATGTAGTAGCCATCCTGTATATATATATACAGGGTGGGGCAATGAAAGCGCCCCAATTTATAAGCAGTACAAACTCAATAATATTCACCCTATGGATATAAATAGCACATCAAAACACAGCTTATCTTTTGCCATTTTAACTTAACAAAGTCATTTTTCCATTTCCTGAGAACGAAATCCTGCAAGTGACTTCCTTGTCCTACTTGACATTAGGCACTTGAAAACTCCATCAAATACTCCTCCAGCATTTCTTCAGGAATCACTTAAGTTTTTGGACAATTCTTAGCTTCGGTTCAAGGAAATCTGTGGGGTGACTTTGAAAAATCCTCGAACAAGTAGCTTATTAGAAACCCCCCTTCCAAAAAAAGGAGCCAACGTAAAGCTTTCAACAACAACAGCTTCCTGGCAAATCTCTTTGGACTTTGAGTTACTGCGACTCGCACTCTTTCAATATTTGCTGGTGTACAAAGAGTTTTGCGGCACCCACCGATTATTTTTAAGGTTTAAGTGTTTAGCCGAAATAATTTTACCCAGTTCACCATTGTTTTCCAATCTGGAACAGCGCCATGTTGACCAAGGATGGGATGTGGTCCAAACAATCTCTGCTGGGTTTTTACACAAGAACCACTATTTTAAAAATAGGTTTGCACTTAAAAATCTCAGTGTTAATAGCCTCGGACATAATATTTACTAAAATGGCATCGTTTAATTGATGTTTTAAGCACAGCTGATCATTCGTTGTTGCAACCATGAACATGTGACAGCTAAAACAAATTGTGGCGTTCTCATTGCCCCACCCTGTATATATATACCACCACCTACATTTGACTCGATGTGAGACATTTTTAGGCGCGAATTGAACAACACAGGGTTAGAACTGCGACTAAACTATCGGCAGTGGAGGCATGTCCATAACTGCCCGTGCGACGCATTTCAGAAGTCCGATAGTCGTCTCGCAGCAAAAATAGGATCATTTGCAACTTTTTTTTTTCGCAGACATTTTTCAGGCTACTACATTGGATTCAATCTAATTGGAAACAATGGTTTTCATATCTACGACTAAATAATCGAGCCACTAAAAATCGCAAGTGAGGGTTGTGCCTAAAGTAGAACTGTGATTTCCTGTCCCTCTCTGTTATTTGTCGTGCCCTAATACAGTGCTTAGATTATTTTAAAGTGTGATTATATTTCAATGCACAATCAATCAATCAAATAATCCTTTATTCACTATGCATAAAATACATGTATTGAATAGAGTCAAATAGGCTATAAATACTTCCCATTTTTCACCCTGAAAACATAACATTTTGCAATTTCTTTCCAGACCAGTTTGTTGAGCTCAATAATACAAACAATTTAGTATATTAAAGTGTTGTTGTATGCCTAATGGTTACAGAAAAATTCCGAAAAGTGTAAATTAAAATTACCATGTTTTTCTTATGGGGAGTAAATAAACTGTTTTAGCTTGCTTGTCTATGGACATATTTTAGTTTGATTCATACTAAGCTATCAATATTTAAATAAAAACACACCTTATTGTCTCCCTGTAGTAGCAAACCTACGTACTCATTAAAATTAATGACATTTAAAAAGGAAATAAATCTGACAATTTGAGGGAATAATTTAGTGGAATTCCAGCCAGGTGGATGGAAATTTGCCTTTTTTTACTAAACTTTTTTTATCTTTAGTAGAACAGGTTTCTTTTTAATATGTTCATTTTTTATTATAATTACAGTTAAATAGTAGTTTACGCAAAGTTAGTGTTAATGACACGAGTAGAAAATTTAAAACTTAAAAACTTCTACGAGTGTCGTTAACATTATTTACGCGAGTTGCGTACGAAACACAACTTTACCTACGACATTGTTTTAATTACTAAAAATCACTACTCATAACTTCTAAAAGAGGTTATGTTTTTGTTTATGACCCCTCATTGCCACTGACAGTGATACAACGAAACATTGTATCAAACATTAATTGCACCAATCAACAATTAAATTGGCCTGAACAGCTGATTAGTTGAATTTCAAATCATTACAATTTTACTTCTCCTATCTCAATCCTTGAACCTCATTGGTCCGTTACCCGTGTTGTTATGAGTAAAAGTATGCTGTTATGAAAGTAAACAATGCTGTTATGAGATACTTTTCAATTCTAAGAACTGTACTGAAACGGCTACTTTAAAAAACGGTCGTAGGTAAAATTACTAACTTGACCCTAGGTAATCCCAACAGTCAACAGCTGGGCGCATGCCAAAACATTTAGTTCTAAATTCTAATTGAATAGTTGACATTTCTTAGGAGATTGTTTACTCAATATGTAAAAATACTCATAAAGCAATAAATTTAGATAAAAATCTTAGCCTATTTTATGTGTTCATTTATTAAAACTCACAACCTCTGGGTCCATAAATTGTCGAGTTAGTGAGGTTTGACTTAACTTTTACCTAATTACACCTGAATCTCAAAACTTTGAAAAGGTCTTGGTTTTGGGGCTTGATCAGCAAGTTTCGAGATTCAAAGGTTTCAAAATTGAAGACTTTGGTTGATTTGGTTTAACGGTAGACATTTTTTGTTGTGTTTATTATTGTTTATAACACCGTCAAACATTTCACCTCTAACACTGATGGAACAAGTAAATTGTATTCTTAACTAAAATAGGTATATCCTTCAATATGTTATTTATTCAATTGATTTTCCAGCTATCGGGAGCCTGTTGAGGATCGACCCAGGAGGAAGAGACGACGAAGGAAGAGGAACCCCAATGCTAATCAGGGTGATGCCGCTCAAGTGCCGCAAGAGGTTCCACAAGTACAAGAACCTCCCCAGTATGACCAACCGGCTGATTTGCCTCCTGCAGATTTTCCCGCTCCCCAGGCAGATGTTCCCGCTCCTGAGGCAGATGTTCCCGCTCCCGAGACAGATGTTCCCGCTCCCCAGGCAGATGTTCCCGCTCCCGAGACAGATGTTCCCGCTCCCGAGACAGATGTTCCCGCTCCCGAGACAGATGTTCCCGCTCCCGAGGCTGATGTTCCCCCTTTCCTGTTAGATGTTCCCGCTGCTGTAGATGAGAGGTACATTGTCTAGAGAATCACTTTGACTAGACGTTACACATTCCATTCTCCATTGCTATCACAGTAGAGACGATTATCTGGCATGAAATGTCCAACTGAAATGCTTTTAAACCCTCCTTACAAACCATTGATTATTGTTAAATTATGTGTTATGTGTTAAGATACCTGTCTCTGCAGATTTGTATCTTCATTCTTCAGGCCTCTGCACTTGTACACATCTCAGCTTCCAAAACACAAACAGATTATTCTTTGTACTTCTAAAATATATTAGGTGTATATGTAGAGTTTTGATAAACTTTGATAGAATATTAGGGGTCTGCAGTACAGAAAATTTAGAGTTGATACAGTTTGTTTGTATACACCAGATCCTTCTGTTTTTTTCAGTAGTAGGTTTTTCTGTTTGTTTTTTTATGCAGCTGTAAGTTTATTGTACGATATTTGTTTTTTTTTACATTTCTTTCTTCAATATGCTGTTTAAGTAAGTGCCAAACTCGGTAAATATATATATCGGATTGTTTGATCTCTTGTATTTTACAATAGCTGGTTAGCTGAGTGGTTATAGTGCTCGCCTGGTAATCAAAAGGTCGCCGGTCCGATCCCGATAAAAGTCAGTAGCTTTTTGATGGTTCGAAACTGGGCCCAGCTGTTCCTGATCATTGGGCTTTAAATAAATGATCCTGACTAATGAAACAGCTGATCTTAGTCAGTAACAAAGCTACACAGATCATCACACACCACTCTACACTCATCCTTCACTCATATTTGGGTTAAAATACGCACCTTGGTGGCGTCCCCATCTCAATGATTGATAATTGATAATTGTAGGTGTGGATATTTTTATCCTTATGTTTCCTAATTAGTTTATCAATGATATTACTAATGTAACCATTGGAAACAGCAATGTATTTTAGTACTTTTACCTCCTCCTTGTATTTATTTGTAAAAATTTTTGTGTCTCGTGTTTATGTTTTGAAGACTTCTTGACGACCTCCTAAGATCAACAATACGTCTTAAAGGCTTGACAATGACACATTGAGTGTTAAAACCGGTCGCTATAACAGACAACCAATGGATTATGATGGCAACAACAAGGGATTTATTCTCTAGAATATATTGTTAAAAAGTAATCCGGAAGGCAACCCCTCACAAATGAAGTTTTAAAAATATTAAAAAGGTTTGAATACCTGCTATCAAGCAATCCATTTAATTGCAGTTGCAACTAGTTTCGACTCCTATGTGGAGTCATCATCAGGCGGTACAAGGACTTCTTCTTTCTTCATATGAAGAGCGTCATATTTAACACGTAAAAATAAATAAACATTTACACACGACATAAAACACGTTACGGACACGAAACATTTACTGATCAGTTAATGTTTTGTGTCCGTAACGTGTTTTGTGTCGTGTGTTAATGTTTATTTTTTTTTTACGTGTTAAATATGAAGCTTTTCATATGAAGAAAGAAGAAGTCCTTGTACCGCCTGATGATGACTCCACATAGGAGTCGAAACTAGTTGCAACTGCAATTAAATTGATTGCTTGATAGCAGGTATTCAAACCTTTTTAATATTATTTGGCAATCCGGAGGCTACATCCACAATGAATTTTAAAAATATCTTTATTTGTAGATAGTGCTTTATAACAAATACAGCAGAAGCAATGACATCCCATTGAAATAATTTGTCTATTGTCATTAATTCTATAAACTATTTTTATAATCAACTCCATATGTTCAGCTGATTGTTTGACACTGCTGAACAACTCACATCCGTTTCAATCCCGTGAATGTTAAAAAAAATCCTGTGTTCAAGACAAATATCAAATATCCTACTTATGGAAAGACTAAAACCACCCCAGTAAACTACAAAATGGCCACCACACAAAATCCCCATGAGAAGTGCTATCTCCAGTTATTTATCATACCTCACCACTCACTATAATGCATATATTGAAAACAGCTGTTTTGCCACTGTCTCACATAGGATTAAATATGTTTGATCGAAGTTTTGTTGTATATACAGAAAAAAATCTATTCCCTTTTATAAGGAGACATATAGCTTTTGTAAATTGTTTGATTAGATAAATAATTCAAGGAATATTACCTTGTAACGTGGGAATTAAAGAGTCGTTTTAACGTAAAGTAAATTTATAGTTGAGAATTATTTTCTTGATTTATATATTGTGTGCATTTTTTTAATGTGTGCTTTATTTTGTACAGAAGGTGTACTCCCACCATGGTGGAGAATTATCTACGTAGAGTGATGCTTCAAATGGGAAGGAACACTATAACTTTTGCGGAATGCTGCCCACCAGAAGAATGTAGTAAAGAATATGCAGCATCGTTCTTCTTTTGTCTGCTGAGTAAGTATTCATAAAAATTAGTTTCTAAATTTTAACTAGCCAAACAGTTAATTATTACGTTTCGTTACTATATTTTAGTTAGCCTTATCAAGTGTATGATTAATGTTTTTTTACCTATCAGTTACTGATTTTTTTATGTTATTGCAAGTTAGCTTTGATTTTTACCAAGTACATAAGTGAAGTTACGAAACACTTATATCAGAAGCAGAATATTTAATTTTTCAAATGGTTTGAAGTCAAAACATCAGAAATATTTTAGCCAGAACGCTTAACACTCACAATTAGGAATTAAAAATGCATAATGAATCCAAACAGATTACAGATAATTTTTAGCAAAAGGTGATTTAATAGTCACAGGTTTTTAAAGGAAAGTGGTTTACACTCTGTTTATGATAAATATTTAGGACTCAATGCCGTACAAATTAATAGTATATTCAGTCTCACAGTGTTGGATGTATATAAAATTAGGATCCTATAGTCGTAGTTCAGGTAGCTTAAATGAAAAAGTTAAAACTCCTCATGCTAATAGATACACAGTAAAAGATCACTAAACAACACAACACTGATATATACAGGACCTCTGCAGATAGGAGATTCTAGAGAAGTCGTGGCTTCAGCCTTTAAGCCCTTGAGTACTAATCTATACAAACTATATAAAAACCATCCACTTGCACTGTGATTTACATTGTCAGTAGGGAAATCAAAGTAAAAATGGGGATTTATTTATGTATTTTGCATGCTAAAAATCTATACACTATTTTCGTTAACATTGCAATCATACAGTAAAGAATTGTATAGTCTCATAGTTTTATTGATGGGGGATTGAACCTGAGAAGTACAACTGCACAACATGTTTTTTTATAAAAATCTAATCTAAAGCAGTAGAAGTGATAAGAACAATTCCTTAACGATTTAAATGTACATAGTCCCTAACGATTTCAAATAATCTAAAGCAACTTTCATATTATTACCTTTTCTCTTAAATTTTAATGCAAAAGAAAATACCTTTTAACCGAAATTTTGTATCCAAAATTACCTTTTATATTTCGGTTAAGAGAGATTCTGATATTTTTGTGATACAATTTTCGATAGGCTACTCATTTCCCTTTGTTTTTTTCAGACTTGGCTTGGAGAGGCCTAGTACGCGTGAGTAACATCCCGGAAGATCCGAAGACAAGCGATCCATCTACAGTGGTCATTGAAGGACTTGCGCCGCTCTTTAATGACTACAAATAGTCTTATAGTCTGATATGTGATTTTTGATCTCATTGGTTTAAGTTGGCTTTTATGTACAGTTTTCGAATTTATCCAATTTCTCTCTTTGTATTTTATCTATATTTTTTATTAATATGGTAACTTTATAATAAATCCCATTTAGACGTAAATAATATAAAAGCTTTATCTCTCTGTTTACCATATTTAAGATCTCCTGGATTATCCAGAATTTTTTCAAATGTATATTTATTTTTATATTTACCTTCCCTGTCCCAGTAGCTCAAAGTTGATTGTTTGTTGTAGTTTGTTCTTGTGATGAGCTGGACAGGAGTTTTGTAGTGTTGAAAAATTCATATTTCATACTTTTAAGTTAAAGTCATGCATGAGCATGACATTTCTTTTACCAAATGTGCATTGACAACTAGTATTTCTAATACTAAGGGTTGACTGAAGAATAAAATGTTCCTGTTTTTTACAATATTTAGTTTTAAAGGTTTGTGAACAATATTTTTTAAATTAAAAGTTTTAATATTGACAACATTTGTTCTCTTTTGAATAACCCTTCAGATCCTCCAATTGAAAATGTGCTCTTTAAAAGCAGGGTGTCCACATTCTGGAAAGTCAGGCATAGTCATGGACAAAAATTCTGGCCATGGAAATAGCTTACAGTCATCAAAATCCCCAATGATGGATGGATTTGAGGGGACTTTCCAATGCTCTAGTCAGTCGTAACCCCGACTATCGTAGCATTTTTCAGGATTTATTCACAAATGTACGACAATTCAATTTATCAGTCTTATTAGTTTATGAGCTTTGAATTTGTATTAGTTCAATACAATTTGTCCCTACTTTATCTTATAATTTTTAATTTTATACTTTTAGGATATTGTTGCAACAGTAAAATTGTTTGAACTTTATTATTACAACTCAAATTGCAATCCACATATTGTTATAATGTTTTGAGTGAAGGAAAAAAGAAAGTGGAGGGAGAACATAGGCAGCTATGGTGACGGAGGATTGTGGGCTTTCTTTTTTCCTTCCTTATTTTGAATACCATATCTTTGCAATATTTAGTACTCTGTTAATACATATTTCAGTATTTTCTGTGAAATAACTTGTTTATGCAGTATTATTCGTGTGTGTATACTATATACTTATATTATCATTTTGGAGTAAAGTTCGTTAGTCTTGGAAATGACAAATTTTCTGTGGACACCCTGAAAAGTTAAATTTTAAACCAAATAATTTTTATTTCATTCATAAACATGAAATACATAAAAGGTCAGTTGTGAATTTTCAAATCAACTGTTATAAAATTTGGTTACTATCAATTTGATCCCTCGCACTGGCAGCGTCTTAAGGACGAAGGGTAGGGGTAGAGCGGTAAAGACCCAGGATGAACCGTCATTCGATCGGCTGGCGTGTAGCTGGTCAATT